GGGGCCGGGGGGAGCGCAGGGGCCGGGGGGAGCGCAGGGGCCGGGGCGGGAGCGCCGGGGCCGGGGCCGGGGCGAGAGCGCCGGGGCCGGAGGTACCGGCCCCGGGGCCTCCTTTGCTGTCAGTCTGCGTCGCTCCTCGTCCCGCCGGGTTTCTGGTAGCTGGCCGCGCTATAAAGCGCCGCAGCAATGCTATAAACTCGTTACAGCGGGTTAAAGGCTGCTGTGTTTGCGGCAAACTGCAGTGTGCTTCGGTTTGGGGTTTCGTTTAGTTAGGCCGAAGTTGGAATCTTTGGGACAGTGTTGAGATAGAACAGAGAGTGAGATGAGAGGTCTCCAGCTGGCAGGAACGCTTGGCTTTTGCCAAAAGCTAAGGCTGGTGGGTTATGTGTGTAATAGCATGTTGGCCAGATATAACTTACAGCATCTTTCTGGTATCCTAAGTGTAACCTCTTTCCTGCTGTGTTCAGGGAGTGATCTTGCTTCTTATGTTTACAAAACTACACAATGTGTGTGTGTGAAAACAAAATAAAGTGTCTTTGGAAGTGTGGACCAGCTCTGAAGTCTCACTCTATCCCTTCTTGTCTGTCTGAAGTCACAGGTTTCTGAGCAGAGATCTGTTTCTTAGCATGTTTGCTCTCTGCAAAGGGTTCTGGCTGGGATCTGTTCTCAGCACTGCAGCACAAACAGTGGTTTCTACTCCCATTACTGAAGTAGACTGTAGTATTTTGTACATCCATTTTTGGAACCTTACTTTAAAAGGGTTTTGGTGACTTTGGAGTGTGATTCTTGAACGTGTTTTATTAGTGTTTGATAACAGCTTTTTTTCATAAAGCTTAATGGTGGGAGGAAGGACACTTGTTAACTCTTGATGCTGTTCTTTGGTACTTAAGTTATCCTGGAACACTTTTTCCTCCTAGACATTAAGTGGAATGATGCTTTAATAAATGCTAAACTTGTCCTGTTCAAGGGCAGAAGAATTTGCACTTGCTCTTTTGATTTCTGTCACTGCTTTTAGCAAGTATGAAGTTCAGGTAAAGAGCTAGAATGTCCTCTAGAGGGAGATCGTGATGCTTTTTGTGTGGCTAAAGTTACTCACCTTGTTCCAGGTAAATCCTAATCCCTTATCTTGAAGAGGTTTCTTGAATGTGTGTTTTTATTTAATAGGAGCATGTTGTCTGTCTGTACTTGAAAATTTTGTTGCAGAATACAGACCACAGTCTGTAATGTTTTTGAAGGTTAAGTAAACCACTTCTAAACGATTTTGAAGTTTATTTTTTACTTTAAAATGCAATCTTGATTTTGAAGTGAGCAACCCCTGAGTTTCAATATTCTGCATAATACATGTTTTGCATCTCTGCACCAAGGACTTCAGCATGTGATCTGAAAGTGTTAAGTCACCACCGTGTGACCAGTGCTTGTTGACTGTAACTAGCGGAAATCTTTTTTGGACAAACCCAGTTCTGGACTGGAGCTAAACCTGTGCCTCGCATGCTCAATGCAGGCTCTTGGAGAAGACTGGATTGTTGGTCAGAAGTTATTCGGTGTGCTGCATATCCAGCCTTGATGTGTCTGTTCTTGTTCACAGGAACTTGGAAATATTTACTCCATAGAAATGCATCCATGCTTTTATTTTCTATAAAGTTGCTACAAGTAGTGAATTCACTGTATTTTCTGGTATATGCCTCTTATATAAGATATAGGGTATATGCAATTTACACTTTGGATGAGAGTTTGAAAGTGTCCTTGTGAATTTGACACATTAGCAGTCTTCTATTTACTTGCTTTTAGTTGACAGTTGAACATGTTTGTACTGTTTCACAGTGCAGAGAACTTGAAAGAAATGGGCCATTAGCCTTGCTCCAGACTTGAAATATTTTTATTCCTTAGATGTACATCCCAAAGCACTGTGTAAGTATGCTACTGTCTTGGGAAAAAGTGTTATAGCAAGTATGATAGAGGGATTTAGAGTACTTATATTGTAACTTTGTTTTCATTTTCGTATTCATTTTTACTTCTTGTGGTATGCAATTTTATCCCTCAATGCATTAAAAATGTATATAAAGTTCTTAGAGGCAAAAGATGTTGCATAATTGAATGTATGGATGTGCCATAATAAAGGACATATGGATATATATACATTTATATGAATGTATGGATAAACAGTAATAAAGGCATGGGTATTTGTAAAAGGATTTAAATATGCTTTAAGCAATTCAAACTGGAGAAGCCATAATGAATTTTGTTCTGAATGGTCAATTCTTTGTTGTAGATCGTCCTTCTGGAGGATTTCGGCACCGAGATCTCTGCAGGCTGCCGTATGTAACCAGAATGAGTTCGTCTTTGGTTGCTTATGATGATTCAGACTCTGAAGCAGAAGTGGAAAAGACTGAGGCTCCTGATGCATCTAGCAGAGGAACAAGCCTTCTGAGTTCTGGAAATCACGTTCAGAGTTTTGCACCTGATAGTTTGGGCACAAAGGCAGTGTATGAAATGCACCATACTGAGAACACTGGCAGTTCTGGCCTGGGCATGGTTTGTGAAGGTCTCCCTGAGCACTATTCCCTGAATAATAACACCGATTTGACGTCTCCTTATTGTAGGAGAGCTCGTCCCAGTCACGCTGCATTATGCATGACCTACAGAAACTATGAACAAGCATCAGGCTCTTCAGTAAACTCTGGCATTTCTTCTCAGAAGCGAATACATAAAGACAATGTTACTCCTGTAAAGGGAATTAGACCATATATCCCTAAAAGGCTACGTCAAGAAAATTCTAGTATGTACAAAGAACAAGAAGCTAATCAGGGAGAAAACCCAAACTGTGATGTCAAATTAGGTAGATCAGGAGAGCAGACTGTGACAAAGGTCTCTGAATTAATTAAGCCTTACTTAGGATCCAAGTACAGATCAACTGAAGTCCCCCAAAATTTAGTATTTCATATGTCTAAGCACAGTGGTCCTGTTAATGAAATCCAGTGGTGTCCTGTACGAGAACAAAGTCACATGCTTCTCTCGGCTTCTATGGATAAAACCATCAAGGTAATGTAATACAAGATGGATTGTGAACCAATTAGAACTTAAATATTTATCTTGAATAATGTTCTTCTAGGAATAACTAAATTGCCTACTGTTGTTTGACAGTCCTCAGAACTTGAGTTTTGTAAGGCCAAAGCCTATTATAAACTTCCACTTTAATTCCTTTCTTTGCATACGACCTTTGCATTTCAGAATTTTTTTGTATTAGTTAGGTCAACTTCTTACATGTTAAATTAACAAGCTAGATTTCTAACAGATCATAGAATCCATCTAGAATCCATATTAATGATGGCTGTCCAA